CTATCTACCAGATCCTGCCGAGGGCACAAGATCGTAGCTGAGGTAACAAGCTAAACGTCGAAGTCCACATGGAACTACTAGCGAGACTGAAGTCTCTCTGCAAAAACATAAAATAGGCAAACGTGAGTACAAATGTACCCAGCAAGACTTACATCAGAACTAACTACATATGCATCATTATCAACAAAGGGGATGGTGGGGTTTAACTGCAGCAAGCCAGCTTTGACTCGGTGGCTATCCTAAACTACGACTGCAAGTAACTCTTTTGAGGTGGCGCACACGAGTCCACATATTCACCATATCAATACACCACTATGGATCCGCTCCCGTCTCCCTACGAGAACGCCATCCATAGCACTCACACTTATCTTGCGTATTTTAGAGTATCAATTTTCACTTGTCTATGAACTGTATAGGCAACCCAGAAGTCCTTTTCCGCGGACACGGCTATTCAAATAGATGATGTTAACCCTGCAGGGGTGTACTTCTTCACACACGCTCTCACAACTTACCGCCGTTTACACGACATGTACTCGGCAACCTTCAAGCGGAAGCCCAGTGAGGGTGTCGGCCACGACCTACCTAAACACTTAAGTCTCTAGTCTAGGTTTATCGCCTATTCGGGTTCCATCCGCGAGGATATCCGGCCGGGGTTTCGCTCACAGCCCAAAACGATGTGTACAGGGTTCCGTGACACCAAACTGGCGCCTGGTATACCCGGCCACGTGCCTACCGCATCACAGCCCACCCCTCCAGTCAGCGCTGCCCACAGCCTCCAGCATACTACAAACACCAGAAACTACTTGCAACTCCTGGACAGAGGACAAGGGTGATTAAGAAGCCGAGAGGGTCCATTGGTTTCGGGCCCAATGCGTGGTAGTAACTGTTTCATGGACCATAAACACAGAACTCAGTTCCTGAGGACGGCTTCAATGAGACAACCCACCATGTACTCCTACATGGCCTCTCACCGCTACCTTTACCAAATCGTGTTCACACACTTAGGTCACACATAATAGGACATGTTTACACACCTCCGATTCATCCCCGATGAATCAGACCTGACTCAACTCTAAGCAGTAGCAGGCATGACAAACAAGCATGAATGAGTAGGCACATCAGGGCTCAAACAACTCCTACTCATGCTAGTGCGTTTCATCTATTTACTGTGGCAATGACAGGTCATGCAGAGGAAAGGGGTTCAACTACCGCAACAAGTAACAGATGAATCGTTGTTGTCCTAATGCAATAAAAGAGAGCAGGAGAGAGAGTGGGATTGTATCAGAATGAACAAGGGGTTTTTGCTTGCCTGGCACTTCTGAAGATAGCATTGAGTCTTCATCAGTGTCAACGATCACAACGTCGGCACAACGTCTACCAAGGGGGAACAACACCGGCAAACAAAGAAGAAACACGATCAATGCAATGCACAATATGATGCATGCTATGACATGGCAATAAGAATGTGTTTTGGCTAATGCAAGCTAGAACATATTGAGATGAGTCCATTTGAACCAAAGATTCAAATGCAAACCCATTTTAAGAGGTCATAATAGTGCATTAACTTGTTTCACCTAAACAACAAGGTTAATGTGTTCTAACATGCATGAAACCAGTGCAGATGGATAGATTAGATTTTCTGATCATTTTTCATATATAAATTATTTCAGCTACGGTTGATTTTCTATGAATTTTAGAAGTTTAGATCATTTTTTGAAATTTATAAATCATTTCTGATTTACTTTAATTCCAGAAATGTTTACTGCGTCAGCATTAGGTCATGCTGACCTTAGCAGGTTAACAGGCGCCGCCAGGTCAAACCTGACTAGTGGGGCCCACTGGTCAGTGACTCAGTTGGTTAACTAAGTTGATTAGGGTTAAACTAATCCTAACGAAAATGTCAGCGGGGCTGGGCCCACATGTCAGTGACTCAGGTTTAGTTTAGCGAGAGGATTAGCACCTAACAGTGGTGATTACCACTAACTAACATCTAACTAATCCAGCTAGTACCGGCCCCACATGTCAGTGACCCAGGTGGGGCCCGACCGGGGTCAAAGTGGGTCAAACCCACCGGCGATTCGACGCCGGCGAGGCCCGAGACGGCGGCGTGGCTCGGGAAACGCCCACAGGGCACGGACGAGGCCGTTCTTGGGCTTGTTGGAGAGCTCTTGCAGGCGCGCGTCGAGTGGTGGAGGAGGCCGAGCCTATGGTGGCCGGAATCGTCGCCGGCGATGACAAGCGCGGCGGCCGGTGTTCGGACGTCAAGCGGAACGAGGATACGGAGTGCTAGCGGCTGGCCAAAGGGGTTCTCTGGACTCCTGGGAGCTCCAGGAGCACAACCGTGCGGCGGGTTTGAGCGGAGGAGCTCGCGAGCGCAAGGCTCGCCGGCCATGGCGGCGGCCGGAGCTTGGGTGATCTTGCGGCGGCGACTAGAGGGCGGGGGAAAGCAAGGGAACAGAGGGGAAATGGTCAGCAGCTCACCGCGGTTCTAATGAGACAGGCGTCGAGCTCGGGGAGGCAGGGACGACGGAGAACAACGGGCGAAGTCCGGGCGGTGATGAGCTTGGAGGCGTCGTCACAGGGCATCCGGCGGTGTGTCCTTCGGCTTGGTGAGGCGGTGATCGATGGCGGACCAGTGGAACACGGAAATGGGGCTTGGCGTGGGCGGTAGCTACGGCGACGGCAAGCGGCGCTCGGACGATGCAGGGGAGAGAACCAGAGGAGGGGATGGGGACGAGGCAGTGAGCGAGGGGGTTCCAGGGGGTGCGGGGCGACGAGGAGGAACTCATCCACGCGTCCAGCGGCTCGGCGACAAGCAGGTGACGGCGTGGCGAGCTCGAGCACGCTGGCGCTCACCTCTTTGCCTGCCTGGCGAGAGGAAGCAGCTGACTGGCACGGGCCAGCACAGTGCTGGGCCTGCCAGGTGGGCCGGCCAGGTAAGTGGCCCAGGTAGGCGTTCTCTCTCTCCCTTCTAAATTGTTTTTTGTTTTCTATTTTTTTGTAACTTCAGGGCTTTATTAAAAATGTCAGGGCATTACCAAAAATCATGAAACTAATCATGACTACTGTTTGGAATATATCCAACAGTAAACATTTTAGTTTGTGATTATTTGAGCATTTAAAATATTTAATAGCATTTAAATGTCCAAATGCAAATACTATAAGATTTAATTCAGAGCCCAAATATGTCATGGAAAAATGTGCAACACCCCTGGTTATGTTTCCAGCATTTTCCAGAAATGATGAACATTTTTGGAAGCCATTTGGGTTCACTGAAAATATTTAGTTGAACCTAGTGAATTCCTTTGATGCTAGGGTTTAGGCAATCCCCATTTCAAGTTTCACTGAAATTTAAACATGATGCAACACATGACTAGCTCACAAGCAAAGCTAAAGCTAGGGCTATGACAATCTTGTGTAAAGAGAGATGTAGATGTTGTAACGAGAGTGCTAATGACAAGCACGGTATGCTCAATTCTAAAAGAAAGTGCATATATTAATAGTGCAGGACCGGGATTTGTGCACCAACTTATAAGGATAAGCACAGAACCGTATGTAAGGCGAGCAAGGTCTAGGCAGTGCATTTGAAAATGCTACACAGGAAATGATTCTAGAAGTTGTCTTACATGTGATCCGTGCATTTAGTCTTTAAAGAGTAAAGCTCTGCGGGCAACAGGCTAAGATTTTGTTTCTTTGCTGGAGCTGTGATCTGTTTCACTGGGAAAGCAATAGACATGAGTAATGTATATAATTGCATGAGTCTAAAGAGCAGGAGGGAAGGCATGTTACCTGGTTGATGTTTGTTTGTTTAGCGGCAGCGAACTGGGAGTGTCGTTGAGGCCATCCTACAAGTCAATGAGCAATTGTATGTAAAATGGTATGTGGTATTGGAGGAACGCAAGTGGAGAGCAAAGCAAAGCAATGTTTACCTCTAATGCATTCACACATTTAGCTGTTGGAGTGCTATTATCATTACTCTCTAAACGAGGCCTCTTTGTCGTAGCCAAGGAGCTGAGCTGTTTTTGAAATGACTCCACACGATCATGTAGCTCTGATGACCAGAACTGCTCAGCTTTGAGTTGTCTCTGGCAATTATTGAGATCCGCTGAGTTGTAATCATCTATCGTAATTATGCCCGTTGTCAACAGATAGGACAAAGCAGCAGAACATGTTGACTCAATAGCGTCGCTGGCAAATTGAGTTGATTCCCCAAAGAACACCTGTTGGGTTGGCAAGATGCTTTTGTTGTGGGGCTGTAGATCAATTTTCACTGATGCCATTGCTGTGCCGTCGTCATCATCAGTAAGCTCAAATGCATGAATTGTAGCGCGGATCCGCTTGATAGCCTGTTCAAGCATATACTTTCTGCTAATGGTAACAGAGATGGCAGAGAGCTGCATTCAATAGGAAGACAAAAGAGTTTATCAAGTCAATTGGATACAGTAACACGAAGAATGTTGAAGCATATGCATGGCCTAGCCGTAACCTGTGGAAGCCCCTTGACTATGAAATCATCATCATCCATTGAGCTGGCAATGTCCGCAGGACGGAGCTAAATAAAACTTGAGTGACATGGGAATAAAGCACAGGTTAAAACTATTTAAAGGCAATCATAGGGACCTATGTAAGGAAAGTAACAGAAGTATGATAGTAAAGGCAGAATGCTCAGGTAAATTTGAAAGCATAGAAATGCAATTCAACACACGATTCAAATACAACAGCGTGCAGCAAAACAAACAGACAAAGCACGAAGCTTTGGTAGCATATGCTGCATAACTGAGAGTAGCATGGTTCGATAGGATATGGTTCGATACGGTAGATTACATTATCAGGTGCACACTTACATACAAACAATCACAACCAAATAGATAGATTCGGACGCACTGATTGTAGCATGGTTCGATAGGACACACACGACATAGGGCTATAGATAATTATATTAGTAGGAAACAACGACTAGCTCTAACGATGATGATGCCGATCTGATGGTCCTTATGAGATTAGAAGCGATCTTCAGGCAGGGCACGAAAGTCATTAGAGCAGCACCCTTTGTTATCAAAGATCTCCTCATCATAAAATGAGGTCCTTAATTCTGGGTGTGACGGTGGATTTCCATCGCTTTGGGTTGACAGACCTCCATCTTCATCTGTTGGTTGTTCCTGACCATACGGATAAACGCCAGTCTCTTGAAGGTTAACCATTGCCTCATCGGTGTACTGCTGAAGATATTCACCGTTGGCCTCTACATTGAGAAGAACATTGTTAAGCTCTAGGTCATATGGAGCAGATCCTGGACTCATCCTGCTGCTGACCAAATGCTTAAGATTGTTGACGACGCTCTGTTCTGTGTCCAGGGATCCATCCCATCCTTTGCTCAGGAGTTTGTTTTTGCCAATGCTCTCTTTTAGCTTCTGTCTCAGACATGTGTTGTCCCTCTTCATTGCCTTGAGATGCTCATACAATAGTGCATTTGTTTTTTCCACAGCCTTCAGTTGATCATAGATGTAGTCTTTTGGAACCACGCCCTCATAAGCATCCATGTACTTAATTGCTACAGCAGCTACATAATCTTGAGCTTCCTCCAGATCTTGGTGGTCCGAGGTAGAAAGGGAAACCTTGACAGGTGAACCCTTGAGCCTGATCTTGATTGGATAGAAGGTAACGGTGACTTGCAGACGGCTATCATCTTTTGGGCTTGCTGAGTAGGTGGCCTCTGGAAGGCCAACCTTCTCTAACATAGCATCAAGCAGGATCTTAGACGAAATTGGAACACAAGCCATTGTCCGGACCTACCGCAAACGAGAGTGAATGTCACTATCACAAAGAGCTGGCTTGAAGTATAGTATCAGCCTCAAGTCTGTATGGGTTGGAAGGGGAAGAAAACATGATAGGTGACAAGTGGGTGCTACAGTTTGGATTTTGTGATGAGAAGACTAATTGCAGGTGGATCAGGATGCCTACTATCATTTTCTTGTAATACATAATTCACAGCTTATAGGAGGGTTGTGGAATTGAAGTAAATTATTAGGTAGATCCATCGCTCTCATCTATTTTGTTTACCTTGGACAGAAAGGATATTAAGACTGACCACACTCAAACACCACCATGTCTCAGCTAGTCAGACACAATACTAAGGATAAAAAAAATCAAAAGCACTGGCATAAGGGGTTTCAGCCACGTTATGTATTGGTGCCTCAAAGCCAGCTTAACAGTAAATTAGACCAGAACGGAATAGATATAGACCTGAGGAAGATGATTGTGACCGGTGGTACAAGAACTGCTAGGCGGGTCGGCAGAAAAAAGCGTGGATCTAAAAGAAGCATGAGAAATCGGATTAGAGCATCCAATTTGCAGTAAGAGAAGGGAACATATGAGAGTAGTAAAATACAATGGCGACAAAAGGAATACCGTGGGGAAGAGTCAGTCGGCGGCGGTCTTCGTAGCTTCCATGGCAAGTTTCTGACGGCTGTCGCTGAGGGTTAGATCTGAGAGTGCTATGAGAGAGAATGGGGAGGAGAGGAATGGATAAGATGTAGAGAAGGAGGGGATAAGCGTGCCTCGCCCGCTCTGGGCCTCGGCGGTGAGATTCACCGCATGCACCATCGCACAGAGGTTTCAACGAGTAGCCACAGGGCAGGTGTGTGTCCTGTTGCGTGAAAGATTTATCGGAGGGGATAATTGTTCCTAGTGTCACCTCCACTCTCCGCGACTGGGCTGTAGGCAGGCTGTATTTGGGCCGCACATAGATACATGTTCATTAGGCCTGAATAGAACATAATACTTGTTTTGTCGACTCAGGAACAACAGAATTCCTAGCTGAAGCTCTGCATTATTCCTATTCCACCAGGCCTGATGCAATTTGATGGTGCAATGGCAATGTGAATACTTTGGACCTAGTCACACCGGCAGATTGGATTAATTTTTCTTTTGTGGATCTTTTCTTGTAAGATGTGAACAATTTCTTTTAGAAAGCACGATTGCTTTTGATACAGAAGACACGAGTCATACAACATCAGGAGAAAGTCAAAGAATGAATGATATTGAAACATTAAGTTTAACTGGTGATTCGTAATCCTGATTAGGATCCGAGTTCTTATCGATATTCAAACATACACAAAGAACATATATCAGGCAGTGGTACCACTAATAGTGCCACTCTATATTTGGAGAAAGGAAGCAGGTTAACTACTTAGTATTAGAGTACGATGCTACACGTAGCAGCACCATCTAAAAAGGACATACATATTATTGGACCGATGGAACGAACTTGCAGCTACAAGGTGGGCATCAGAATATTGGAGATTAGGCACGCATCAAGCTGTTGTTAGCACACACACATGGTTGCTGATCACTGCCGTTTTCCGCAGTTTTCCGGTAAGCCTGAGTAATAACATCTGGGGTTACATAGGTTATAATATCGCTGGTAGTTGTACAAAAGCAATGTCGGGCATTGTCGAAAACCATAGGCAAGGTTTATCTAAACATAGGGGCTAAATAGATGTTCTTAATACGACAGGTTACACATGTAGAAGACACGCATTGCTGCAGATGGCCCATTGGACGACAAGAGCCAGGCGGTGCTTGATACGTCTCCAACGTATCTATTATTTTTGATTGTTCCATGCTATTATATTACCCCTTTTGAATGTTTATGGGCTTTATTATAAACTTTTATATCATTTTTGGGACTAACCTACTAACCGGAGGCCCAGCCCATATTGTTGTTTTATTGCCTGTTTCAGTATTTCAAAGAAAAGGAATATCAAACGGAGTCCAAACAGAATGAAACCTTCGGCATCGTGATTTTTTGGAAGAATATCATCCTGGAGGCTTGGAGATCAAGTCAGAAGACCCTCGAGGAGCCCATAAGATAGGGGGGGCACCCCCCCCTACAGGGCGCGGCCCCCTGTCTCGTGGACCCCTCGAGCACCTCTCGACCGATTTCTTTCGCCTATATAACCCTACGTGCCCTAAAACCATCGAAAATCAAGATAGATCGGGAGTTCCGCCGCCGCAAGCCTCTGTAGCCACCAAAAACCTCTCGGGAGCCCGTCCCGGCACCCTGCCGGAGGGGGAACCCATCACCGATGGCCATCTTCAGCATCCCGGCGCTCTCCATGACGAGGAGGGAGTAGTTCACCCTCAGGGCTGAGGGTATGTACCAGAAGCTATGTGTTTGATCTCTCTCTCGTGTTCTTGACTTCACACGATCTTGATGTATCGCGAGCTTTGCTATTATAGTTGGATCTTATGATGTTTCTCGCCCCCTCTACTCTCTTGTGATGAATTGAGTCTCCCTCTTGAAGTTATCTTATTGGATTGAGTCTTTATTTGAGAACACTTGATGTATGTCTTGCCGTGTTTATCTGTGGTGACAATGGGATATCACGTGCCTCTTGATGTATGTTTTGGTAACCAACTTGCGGGTTTCGCCCATGAACCTATGCATAGGGGTTGGCACACGTTCTTGACTCTTAGTAGAAATTTGGGGCACTCTTTGAAGTACTTTGTGTTGGTTGGATGAATCTGAGATTGTGTGATGCATATCGTATAATCATGCCCACGAATACTTGAGGTGACAATGGAGTATCTAGGTGACATTAGGGTTTTGGTTGATTTGTGTCTTAAAGTGTTATTCTAGTACGAACTCTTGAATAGATCGATCCGAAAGAATAACTTTGAGGTGGTTTCATACCCTACCATAATCTCTACGTTTGTTCTCCGCTATTAGTGGCTTTGGAGTGACTCTTTGTTGCATGTTGAGGGATTGTTATATGATCTATCTATGTTATTATTGTTGAGAGAACTTGCGCTAGTGAAAGTATGAACCCTAAGCCTTGTTTCCTATCATTGCAATACCGTTTATGCTCACTTTTATCATTAGTTACCTTGCTGTTTTTATATTTTCAAATTACAAAAACCTATATCTACCATCCATTTTGCACTTGTATCACCATCTCTTCGCCGAACTAATGCACCTATACAATTTACCATTGTATTGGGTGTGCTGGGGACACAAGAGACTCTTTGTTATTTGGTTGCAGGGTTGTTTGAGAGAGACCATCTTCATCCTACGCCTCCTACGGATTGATAAACCTTAGGTCATCCACTTGTGGGAAATTTGCTACTATCCTACAAACCTGTGCACTTGCAGGCCCAACAACGTCTACAACAAGAAGGTTATGTAGTATACATCAGTGCTCTGCGGTAATCTTGAAATGAAATGCGCAGATATGTCCTTCATGGATGTTTGCACAGCGGCGAAACTCTGACCAGTTTGTGGTTATTGTGGCTCTTTTGTTTGTTCCCAGCATGATACGGCAATTGCTGTGCAAAGTGCTGTTTGCGAGCTTGACCTTGAGTGTGTCATCATCTGGATTGATGTGCTCTTGTAGCTTTGCTTTGGTGTAGTAGACCTGGAAATACTGGTATACGAGAGGAATTAACTGAGTAGATTGCAGAGTGTCGTTAAATATAAACAATGAGAACAATTATCAGTAAATATTGGCATGAAGCAAAAGAAGAGTGCAGAGTATGGTGCATTCCTTCCTATATGGAGTATAAGATATAAATTGCTTGTTTCTGTATGCATGTCATTTTAAAGATATATCATACTATATGAATATACAACAAGTTGATGAGAATTGTTATGCTGGTGCTAATAGCAGGGTATTGAGCTTTTGTACTAATTCCTTTGTTGTATCTTTGTTTTGTTATGTGTCAGTACTGATGTTAGACATCCTGAGTTCTTGTTGCATGCTAGAGAACAACTACAATCTTGTGGTGATTCTCTTGATTTTTGGTTCTACAAATGTGGCATATGGACCAATGGAAGCAAAGATATTTTGGATGTAATAGTTATATGGGTTGCTCCAAATGGTTTAACAGTGGAAGCATCACGCCTTAAGTACCCGTGGAAGTGTAATATGTAATCATTATCCGACAGTGACATCTTGTCTGTACATTCACATCCTTTGAATGCCACAGTCGGATTAATAAGATACATAAATAAGCCGTGAGGCTACCTCAATATAAATGATAAAGTCAATTTGGTGAATCAAAAGTGTACTGCAGGTTGTGCCTCTGACGATTAGGTAGGTAAGTAGTTTGGTTGTGAGACAGAAGCAAAGATAATTCTATTTTTCAATGAAGTGTAAGGAAGGAGTGTACCATCAGTTGGCCTGGGCTTGCGAATGTTTTGTTGATGGTGCAGACATAGTATTTGATATCTGGTTTTTTGCGGCGGAACATTGCATACAACTTATTCACATGCTGTCGATAGAGCTTCACTTTGTTGCCCCAGTGATAGTACTTTTCAAGCTCTCCAAAGTATTGGATAGCGGGGGGTGGACCTGGATTTTAGGAACAAAATGAAGCAGCACATGTAATAAGGGTGAATACTATTTATTGTCGGGAGACTAAGGTCTGAACAAGAAAAAAGTAGAATTAAGTTTGAAATTCACAGTAGGGAGAACATAGTAACTAAGTTAGTTATATTGAGCGTTATTGAGAGGGCTGATATATGTTTTGCCGGTTGTAAGGCAGAATGTTGGTATTGTAGAAGTATAGCAGGGCATAAAAACTATTTGGCCGTTTTATTTTAAATGAAAAATATCAGAGCAGGATAATAAGCATTGTTGCCTCGCATTGGCTCACCGCGAATGATATACTCCGGAGCCTCATATTCTTCACCCTATATTAAGGATTGGGAGAATTGTTAGAGTGAGAGATAAAAAACTGTTTGTTGGAAAAAGGAGCTGTTGGCGTACAGTCAGATTGT